TTTAGAAAACTGGGATGAAATTTGCTTAAAGCCTGTGATCAGCTTAAAGAACATTTTTCCCAGAGATTCTTGCAATTTTGGGTAATTCTAGACTGGTTAAGCACACGTGTATGACAGACAGATGAGGATCTGTTGAATAGATCACAGTTTTAGCAGGCTGAGCAAATTTATCTCTCACCTCTATTAGTGAGCAGAATATTTTTCTCTCGAACAGATGACTTCTCCCATCAGTTTTCTGCAAGAAACCTTGTCTCATTTTTTCCTACCACTGTGTTCAGATTATCATTCATTATTGTTGGGCACCATCTTGTTTTTTTCAGTTAAAACTATCCCAGCTGTGTGAGTTGAGCACTTCTAAAATGCAATTGTTGAACCATATTTATTAATCCTACATAGGAAAATAAACATGTGACTCACTATTTAGAGTCTTCCACAGCTGGGGCTGAAGACCCAAGGAGGCATTGACCTACCCAGGTGTTTCCTTATTTCTTACCCTCACCATCACTGATGAACTCATCCTGCAAGGTCTCCTGACCTTGTCTTGCAGCGAAATGTGAAATAAAGAAGTAAATGTAGGGTGCACTTTCGTTCTGGACTATTAAAATGCTAAAGATTGCTGGCATATTTTGATTAAGGGAACATATAGTGGCTATAATTTTGTGATGGCAGGGGTTTGTAAGGTCTGCAAAAGTGAGGAGACATTAAGTGCTTTAATGAAAGAGAGTGAAAGGAAAAGGTAGGGAACCCTCAATAACACAAAAGATTTAAAAGGTTTGTATTTTCCCAGTTTCAGAAGAAATGTAGCTGGTTTTGCCTGTTGTTTCGCTTTTTGTTTTGATGATTATAAGACAATTTTTGATAAACAGGGTCTATGACCTACTTTAAAAATTTAATTTAGAAAAATGCTTACAGGATTTGATGGCATTCTTGGGAGAGATGTTTAGGATCATAGTGAGTTGGTTAATGGGGGAAAGGACAGAGAAATTAACATAATATAATCTATTTGAATCATCAGTCAATGTCAATTTTTGAAAAAATATTTTCCTGATAAGAGAATTTTTACAGTTTTTTCTATATGAAGTTCAAGTGACTTCATCTGCTGCCTTGACTGTCCTAACCTTCAGAGGCTCCTTGTATAAGTCAAAACAAACAAAATGTTCCAGTGCAATTGAAGCTTTCGTATTTTTTTCTTTAGTAAAGCAGAACTGCTATATGATGAAGAGAAGGAAGTAGTTTTATTAGTGTCTCATGAGAAGAATAAGTTGAAAAAAGAAACATAAACTTTTAGGTCCTATACTTGCAGCAGTATTTTGTGATTATGTTTTGCTGCCTTTCTGAGAAACAGCACTGGAGATACAGAGGGGGAGGAGAGGCAGAAGAATTTGCAAGGCCCTATGGAATCTCTTTTTGTGGCTATTTAATAATGCACCATGTAAATATTCTGTAATGTACATTATATACAGTATATTGACCTGATTTGTCACTACTGAGATGTGGAGACCGTGCAAGTATTAGCAAAGAGTTAAATTTCAATGCAATTTTGGTAAGAAAACTCTTTAAATTCTACATTTGGCAAGGCAGCGTATGCTGGATAATTATGTGGAGACTTTGTTATTTCAGGGCTGCTGTGTGAAGTGAGATTGGGGCTTTAGGTTTGGCATTTGAAAGTAATGTATCAACAGTTTATGTGTACTGGGAGATTTTTTTGTGGTAGGGAGATTCTTTTTGATAGAAAATGCAATGTAATTTTGTTCCCATAAGGCATGAACTGAATTAAATATATTTTGGAGATGTTACCAATTCACTCTTCAGAGTTGACTTATTACCACCATTCCTAATAGTGGGTAGATGATATTTAAAATGAAATATGATACTTCTTAGTGTTCCAGCAAATAGCAGGAGATAAATTAGTAGCTAAATTAGCATATTGACTGGTTGAGTGAAATATGCATAACAATCAACGCTAGCAATTAATACCTTGAAACAAAATATTTTTGCAAGGCATTTTGGAGGTCCATGTCTATTTTAGAGTAATCCTACATGGATATAGTTTACTATGCATTGAGTCATTAATTTGCTCTCCAAGACATTGGTTTACAAGTCTGATTGCATCAGATTTTTTGCTGTGGTGAGCATCAAATAAACAACAGTTATTAAAAGAGAAACTAAAACATGATAATGCCAGTTTTCTTTTGTGCTTTTCATGTAAAATTTATTACTCAATAAAGCAAAATCAGAGTTCTGTATAGAAGTAGCATGACTATTGATTTCTTTGTACCTAAGCAGGCTCATTTTGTTCATTTTGTACATTTTGTATCTGTATTTTTCTGCTTCTGAGAATATCAGTGTGTTATTATAGGATGGCCTCTCTTTGGCAGGTGGCTACAGACAGCAGGTGGTTGTAATCCCAGCTCCCAGGTGCTTCAAATCAGTAGAGTCAGGTGAACCTGTCACTGTTTTAATGTGCCACTCCACTAGAAATATTCCTGGCTGCAACTTCTCATCTGGAACCTTTTGGATCCATAGCACTGTGGGATGGAAAATAACCACAAAACTACCTGTCTTCCCACCATCACAGGAAAATTCAGCAGCATTTTGCTGGACACAGATATTTCAGGCTTCTGGTTTTAATTTTTTTTTTTTTTATTCTTCAGGAAAAAAATAAATACTGAGTTTTTTCCTAGCCATAAAACCTTTTTTTTAGAACAGTTAACTTCAGATTTCTGGAAACAGGAACACTGAAGTATACATTTCCACATCTAGTGTATATTGGTGCAATGTGCAGTTCAGGCATCCTCCTGCTTGGCTGGGTCAGTAGCAGGACTGCAGTCAGGTATCTTCAGTGAGTTTCCAGACACTGTTCCAGGTCAAATGGTTCTTACAGCAGACTTGCCTGGAGCAAAACCATCCACATCTCAAGAACATGTTACAAACCACACTTTGTGTACTGTGTGAGCACAAGCCATTCTGCAACACTCTGCGTGAAGAAGCCTTCCTGCTCTGAAATGTCTCGTTCAAAAGGTACCAAATTTACAGGGTAAATGGTACCAGTTTACTGGAGCATGGGTAAAAGGAGAGAATGCTTTTATTCCTGTGCATATTGTAAATCTGTGTAAGATTATGTGTATGTGGTCTTTGCAGGCAGGTGTGGGATGGATGTGAAGGACTCTGTTTGGTCTCCAACATGTCTTGAAGTCAATAGCTGGGCTGGTCTAGCTCAGAACTAGCACGTGCTGCTAAATCCTGCTGAGACACACAGCATGTTAGTTCATGCTTAATGATGTGCTAATACAGTTATCTGCTGAAAGGCTTTTCAGAGATTCCTAAATCACTCTATCTCACCAAAACTTTTATTTTAGCAGGATTAGGAGCCAGGTAATTTGTGGTCAGAGGGTTCTCAGCCTTTTGGTTCTTTTTCTAGGGAAATCCACAGGACATAATCCACTGGACTGCCTGGTGAAGAGAGGTGCTGTACTCTGCTTTCATGGAGATAGGCGTGGCTGGGGAGAGAGGATTTGCTCATTTGTTTGCATCTGGTGTAGTTCCTGGCTTGTTTCTTGATGCAAAGTGTGGAAAAGTTCAATACTGCTTGATATCATAACTCAGTGTGGCCATTAATAAACAAGACATTCTCCAGGAAAATTAAAGAGCTTAATTGTGAAAACGTGTTCTTAAGGGCAGTGTTTGTATCCAACATACAGCTTCATTCCTTAGATTTGCTCCAGTCCTAAGTCTTTAGCTTTGTCAGAAAATAAATTATTGGTTGGATAAACAAAGTGAGTGGCCTTAGCAGTAGCAGGCTATTTCACAGTGCCTTTGAACCTGTCCCTGTGCCCCATGTGGAAGGACCAGAGCAGGGGCACATCTCGCCCACTTCCCTGCTGCCTTCACAGCTATCAGCAGGGACTCATTTTGGTTGAGCAAAAGCAATAATCACTTTTTTCTCCCTGGTTGGGTGGCACCAAGGGAACAGAACACTTTATCCATGAAGATGTGTACAACTGAAAGAGCAGGATTGCCAAACTGGATGAAGTTCCCAGGGTGAAGAGTGGAGCTTGTGCAGTAGGGGCTCATCAAGCAGCAACTTTGTGATCAAATTTACTATTTTAAATAAAAAAAAAAATCTAAGGATTTTTTAATGGACCTGTACTGATTTGGCAGCTGCCTGACAAATATTATACCTGACAGGTATTAGGGTGTCAACACAGGTGGGACCCTGGCCAGGTAATAATTGATATAGACTCCATGCATTTATAGAAGGCTGTAAATATATGAAGAAGACCATTGCTTTTTTTTATACCCTAATTTGCTACAGCTGGGCTTGATTGATCCTTTAATTAAAACACCATCACCATTGGCTAATTAAGAAACCATCTTTTGGTAAGCAAATTTGTCACACCTTCCACATGTTCACAATACCAGGTGTAGCAAGTGAAGATAAGAACTGTTTCTCATTCTTTTCTCTGATCTTCTCACAACCTTCCCAGACCCATGCCTGAGAAAGTCTGTGCCTGCTCTCTGTGGCCAGACAGCTGCTGCCACATTAGGGTGTTGGAAGGACTGGCTTAATTTGGAAGGGCTGGCTTAATTTGGAAGCCTTTCTCCAAGGAGTTAGCACACCTGAAGTCTTAGTCCTGGTCAGTGGTTGCAGTTCCTAAATCCAAGCTTAATCTGAGCAGTCTATAGGCTGATTTATAGGCTTGTCTCGTTGCAGTATTGTCAGGATGCTCTTGGTTTCTTGCTCTGTATATTCTTGTAGCGTATTGCAGCATTACTGTGCTATGGTATAATAATGTGCTCAAAATTAAGAGAACATAAGGTCCCTCAAATTACTAAATGAGAGACAAATACATGGAAAAACTGAACCTTCAGTAAAGAAATAAGAGGAGGAAAAACTCGAAAGGTTACTCTAGACATAACCAGTTAGTAAGATGTGCTGTCTAATAAGACCTGCTCCAGACTTCCTCTACATCCCAGTTTGAACACACAAGGCAAACCAAATGTCTGACTTTTTCAGAGCATTTAACAGGTCTTCAATATGCACTAATTATCCACAGTTTGAAACCTGTATTAATTTTTACCTTTCCTTTGTGTTTTTAGGCTGCCTGTTTGAGGATGACCTTTGCAAGTCTTTTGAAGTCTGTGTAAATGGTAAGTCTTCCATGTTTTGTTTGCTGGTTGGTCTGTCCTCCACTCTGTAATTGCTACATGTTTAATTCAGTAAACCAAATACATGTGTGAGTGAGAAGGAGGGGAAAAGGAAAAGTACCAGGTATGACTATTCTGGTCAGCAGTTAGGAAAAATTTAATAGATTTAAAAAAAAAGTATTTTTTCAACCCTGAGCAAAACCATTTATTTTAATGTGAAATAGATTTTAATGTAAATAAACACACTTAAATATGCTAATATTTAATTTGTCTCAATATGGGTGGAAATAACTGTTTTGTTACCTTCAGTTTCTTCCTCTTTTTAGAATATGATGTTGAGTAATTATCAGTGTCCTTTTCTTCAAAAGATTATTTTTTATAATAAGAAAGTAAGTCTCAAAGGAACACTGCAGTTGTTGATTATACTGCTTCCTTTTTCTATGATTTTACTTGAATTATGCAGAAACAGCTTTCTTCTGCTGTCCTGCATAATTTATTTTCAGTAAATCAAAAAAGCCAACACAACATATGAATGAGGCTAATGGAATAGTACAAAAGATGTTTTCTAATAATAGCTGAAGACTGGAAATGTGCTATATGAAATTATTCCACTCCCAGTGAAGAACAGAGGAGTTTTTGAGAGAGATCTTTGAAACAATAACTGTTTTCAAATATGTGTATATGTGATGAAAGGAGGAAGGGAGTAGTTTTAATAGTGTCTTTTGACATGGAAATATATGGCAAAAATGTATATCTGTATTAAGAGGGATTAATTTTTTAAATTAAGTATTGTATGTGAAATTTCTTTGTGACTTCATATTGTAAAGGAGAAGTTTTATTTTCCATCAAACACAGAATCAATAATATGGGTCTATTAATAAATTAAGATATTAATAAGGTTTAGCTAATGAACATTTAAGATGGAATGAGATTAAATTTCCAGTACTGTTTAACATCAGACAAATGCAAATTTATAAGACTTTTGTACTGACAATTCCCATGATTGACACCAGGAAGGGCAGTGACAGATTTGTACAGGTTGAATTTTGCTGACTATCAATATTTTCCAGTACTTAGGCTGGAATCTTCCTCAGTGCAAGCAGATTTAATCAGTTTTAGTCAGGTTTAATCATAGGTAACTGTTATACGCAGCAGGCAGTGCATAATAGGGATTTTATGCAGCAGATAATAGCAACTTCTGTACTTTAGGGATCTGTCTATTGAAGACTTTGCTGTTCCTATGAAAGTAACTTCCTAACTTCTTGCTCTACTTGTTTTCTAAAATTAAGACGCAGTTTGTAAAACACTCATTAACATGCAAAATTAAATTATGGAAGTTGTATCTTTGAATTTGAATGAACCTTTTGTGTAGAACTGCTCATATTTTGGCATAACTAACTTAAAGAAATGTCAGTAATGAATAAGAGTTGATCAATATTATTTTCTAATGTCTGAACTTGTTTTAAAAAAATACTTGCACAGATTCTGTCCAAGTGTTTAAGGTAACTGTAAAATACTTTATTCTTTTTTGTTCCACTGAGCGTATTTTAAATGCTGTCCTTGATGCAAGTGAAGATAAACCATTCTTGAGACAATAAACAGGATCTTTGGGATATTGTGCAGTGAAATACTAAAAAATATCAGAATTTTTTATATGTAGTAGTAAGGAAGTGGGCCTCTTGCTTCTGAGCAATCCTTCACAATTTTCCTGCCCAAAGTGGTGCTGAATCACCTGTATCTCTGAAATTTTTCAGACATTCTGATATATTAAAATTTGAGGGGTTGAGAGCTCAGGAACTGAAGTTTGTGGAGGTCACTGTGCTCAGAAGCAGAGCTCCCTTTGGAGAGGTTTGCCTCCTTTCTTGTCACATGAGTGGGTATTGCTGAAGTACAGAGTGAAAGTGGGTAAGAACCAGCAGCTGCTTTTTGGTAGCATCTGTGATCTGCAGATCTGCTTCTGGCTCCTGCAGGAAGGCTGATAATTCTGATATTTTTCTCTGCCTTCAGCAGAGGCAGAGAAAACTGACCACATTTGCAGAAATAAAACTAAGTTTGCCTACTGAAGACAAGTCACAGTATTTGCTGTCTCACATCTGTCATCAGCTGTAGATTTCAAGTGTATTTCATGCATCATTCATTTTGTGAAAGTATAACCAAAACACTAATAACTGAGCTATTTCATAGCTTAAAAATCCCCCCCTACTCTTCTTCCCTTCTCATTGCTTCTGAAGAGAGATTTTTACTGAAAGATTTTAATAAATTTTCCTTTCCATTAAGAAAAAAAAATGGTGTTCAAAGAATGGGTTTCATATTGTTAAAAGCAATGTAATAGAATTGTATGAACTGAGATAAGCAGCATAACTGTTTATAGCAGAGATAAGGGCTGCTTACATCTGCTTTGGTCACAGGACATTTTTGCAGGGCAAAGGACCTGCTGTGATAATGATTGTTGACTTTTCTGCCACTTTCCCTCATGGTATAAAGGTCTCTTTTGGCTTCAGTGATGGGTTCTTGCTTATGCTTGTTTAATAGCTCCAGCAGCATTCATGCAATATTAATTTATTTCCACAAACCTTTTATCAGTTTTCTGAGCTGCACTGACTCATTGAGTGGTTAAAAAGGAACATATTGTTTCATGTTAATTTTCATGACATAAGGATGAGCCAGGCAAAAAGACTGAGTTAGTTTTCCTGGACTCTTCCTTTACAAAGCCAGAACTTTGAGAGGTAAAGTGACTTAAATGTCATTTATTTATCTATCTTCTGGTACATTATTGCTTCTTTCTTAGCGTTGGAGGAACTGACATTTTTGTCCATCTAAAATGCTTGAAGCTTGAAAGCCTGCAGCTAAAAAGACTTGATGGGGAAAGTGAATATGCCCGAGAGAGCTGCAGACTGATAGAAAGTAACCTGGCATAGTAGAAGCTTGGAAATGCTTGTCCCCCCAATAAATGCTGAAAAGCTGTTACAAATACACCAGGAAGCAAATAACATCTTGATTAAAGAACATATACAGAAGGAAAAAATAATATGAGGAATAGTATTTGCAGTGATGGTAAGTGTAGTGACACAGTTGTGGGTGAAAAGGGGTGTGGCTTTCACACCTTCACATACTCTTTGCTGTCTGGGTTAGAAGTTCAAGCAAGAGTTTGCCTGTAAGTGTATTTTTTTCCTTAACTGCTCTGCATTGAATGTTTGTATGAAAAGGAAAGAAAACAGCATCAAGAAGGAATTTTTAGAGGATCTCTGAGACAGAAATTCTTTGCTTACCCTTGAACAGACCTTGTATTTATATACTAAATTTAGTACAGCTGGATAAGCAGGAATATGTCATGTTTTGTTTTGCATTTTAAGTGACAGATAAAGCAGTTCATGTAAAACATCAGCTCGTTTATCTTCCTTGTTGGAAGGTTTAAACAAACTGGCTCCTGTAAACAGCAAAGCAAAGACAAGTTCTTATTCTTTCTCATGAAACCGTGCTATTGAATTCTAGCAGTGCCACTGGGAAAGACACCATGTGGTACAGATAAGTGTTCATGTCAAAATAACCATCCCTTATTGGCCTATGTCCTCTTTGTTAAACCGTTTGAACTGCTCATTTTGAAGGGTAGCATTCTTTCCTTTAGCTTTAATCTCCAGATATTTTGCTTCAGAAAGCAGTTTTGTGCTGTGTTTTATGCGGGCATGGATACCATGATATCTTTGCTCCTATCAACACATCCTTTCTAAGTCAGGGCAGTTTTATTTATGAAAGAGGCTGTGGCTATGAGCCTCCTTCCTGCATGACTTCAGAATGGGGCTCATGCAGACAAGATCAGATAGTAGAAAACAACTCTGTGAGGCCAAGCAAGGCAAGTTAATTAAACGCAGTCGCAGAGTGCATCGTTAAGCCCAGGCTGGCTGGCAAGCACCACCCTGCTCCTCGCAGCCGCACTCTGCTGGCTGCAGCAGCGTTTGGAGAAGCTGTGCTGCTGGAAGGCTGGGCCAACAGAGCTCACAGCTGAATCAATATTGCTTTATGTATGCAAGCTGCACTTGTTAGGAGGCACTTAGGTTAGCACGGTGTGTCGGAGGCACCCAGGCATTGCAGTACGAAATCGTGAACCTTTCCAAGCCTGCATCTCTGCAGGTAGTTCAGCATATTAATGCATTTTCTTCCTCAGCTACAGAGCTCCTTGAGCATTTGGAATATAAGTGATTGTGTGTGCTGGTGATGAGCCGTAAACAATAAACATGTGCTACAGATGATAAGGGAGAGAAGTCAGGATCCCTGAAATGGTTTCTTGAACTTAATGTGTTCTGCTTTGAGGTTTTCCAGACCATTGCCTGGTAGGGTGGGATTGCAGAGGGAGATGCACCTCGGCATTGTTGAGCTAACAGATGTCTGCAGCAACATCTGCCTTGGCAAGGCACTGCTCTCCCAAAGCTATTGAATTTTTGTCAAATGACACTATAAATCTGGGCCTAAGCTATCTGAGCACTTCCAGTGACCATCAGTACTTGTTATAACTAAATCCAGACTTCTGAGGAGTAACACTGAGTGATACCTCTGCATGCCCTTGCTGTATTGTTTGTATAGAATTTATGTGCTTTACAAGGATGTGGGGATTCTTCACAAATAGCTGAAGTTCAGTTACCACCTGATGCCATTTATTGCCTGAATTTTGAAGTAAATGAGTGTGTGTGTATGTTTGCACATGGATGTTTTGTTGTTGTAAAAATCTGACCAATTAATTAAATATTAGGATTTACTTCCAGTGGTTCTTCTGTACCAGTCCAATGAAATAATGGGACTTTTTTTTCCTGACCTTTATTTTTAAATATACTTTGTGACTTCTTCTGACATTACTTATTCAATCTTGTGTGGTACTCAAGAAGGAGTAAAACTTAAAATCTGCCATTGTATAATGGTATTTTGAAAATCCACATCCTTGGAAGTATTTACACAGTCCATTCAACTGAAACCAAGGGTGAGCTAACACCTAAATATTCCTGACAATCTGT